AAGACTCCGTGTGGCTGCAGCTTTTTGCTGTGTCAGCTTAAATCAATCATGTGATTTGGAGGTGCAGCGTGTCCGTGGACCACAGAGGGTTAATAACACTCACCTTTCTTCCATTTCCAGAGTGTAACAACCAACTACCTGTGTGAAATCTGAATTTCCCATGGTGTTGTTTAAAATGTGCTCTGGCACAATCACAAGCGTCACTTGCTACTGAAAACAAGAAAAAAGCCGGTCCTGCAATGGGCTGAACCATTTGTTACTGGTGGGGGGGACGACGACACTATGCAATATATTTAGTTTAAGCATTTATATTCACTGTTGACTGTAACTACGCTCAAACTGTTAATGCTATCTTATTTTAATGAACAACACTGTCACACTGGGGTGGCACTTGAGGTGGCAAGGGATCATTTTAGGGTGCACTTGCCACCCCATGCCACCCTTCTAGATCCGACCATGTAGTTGCTGCAGATTGAAAAAGTTTCACATTAGTATCTTATAGATGGAGAAGACTTCGTGCCTTCTGGAGATCAGTTAATCTTCTGCTCACTGAACTGTTGACACAAACAGACATTTGAAGCTTTTCCAGGTAAATGTTTGGAGGCTTCACAGTGTCCACACAGGCTGATGTTTTACTGCTGTGTGTGTGGGAACATCTGCCTGAAGCATCTTCCTATTCTGCACGCACATAACTGCACTGATTGTGAGCCAATGAATGTGTAGACCAGGGGTCCCCAATCCCAGTCCACAAGGGCTGGTGCCCCTGCAGGTTTTAGATGTGTCCTTGATCCATCAAAGCTGATTTAAATGGATAAATTACCTTCTCAACATGTCTTGAAGTTCTCCAGAGGCCTGGTAATGAACTAATCATGTGATTCAGGTGTGTTGACTCAGTGTGAGATCTAAAACCTGCAGGGACACCAGCCCTCATGGACTGGGATTGGGGACCCCTGGTGTAGACTGTCACCATGACAACGTGTTGTTTGAGGTCAGTCCCAAAGTCGATCTGTGAGCGTTTGAACTCCAGAAACATCTCCTGCTGTTTTTGTAGATTCACTGCAGCTGACAAACCTTTAGTCTCCACACCCTGAAAGTGTCCATGTTGTCAACAACGGACACACATTATGCCCATGTCATGGTCTAAATCAATCAGAGATGGTCAGGGGCTGGACCTCTCTGATTGGCCGTGGTCCAGATATTCCTGTATTCTTTCGCGTGTGGACGTTTGAAAGTGCAAGAGTGTAGAGAGAGGTGAGTGACTTGAATAAAGCGATATAAACAAAAACAAAGTTAATATGTGGGGTTAAGTGAGGAGGTTGAAAAAATATTTGCTTTTTTTTTCAAATTAATGACATCTCAAACTTTGTTCTGAGCTTCTGCAACATCACCCATTACCACTGAAAGGATGTCCATAAAAACAGACGGAAAATTACTGATACTTTCAGAATCTGAGAGTTTAAAACATGACAAAGTTGATTCAGATGAAGTTATTTGACCAGAAACTACTGGATCTTTATCCTGTGTTTAAACTAATTCTTCATGGTTCCTCCACAGAGTGGAGCAGCAGAGCTCAGAGGTTCCTAGTGGTCAGTCTGCCCAGCAGCATCAAACACAGCTGGAATCCATATTTATGGTCTGTACATGTACAACAACTACTTTTTACATCTATTCTGTTTACAGTCATCTCCATGATGCTCTTTGTAGACCAGTGGATTGTCAGTGTGTCCAAAATGGATCTGATGTTTGGCTCCAAGATTTCAGTCTGATTGGCTCATTCATAAAGTATTCTGTTCCAGCTGCTGGAGGACAACATCATCACTTTTGTGAAGAACGAGTTGAAGAAGATCCAGAAGGACCTAAGTCCAGATTACCCAGAATGCTTAGAGAGTCAGAGGGAGGAGGATGAGCAGAGTAGCAACAGAGAGGCATTTGTGAAGATCACACTGAACTTTCTGAGGAGAATGAAGCAGGAGGAGCTGGCTGACCGTCTGCAGAGCAGTAAGAGGATT